CTGCCTGCCCCGGGCGCTGAGGCAGGACTCACCTGGGCACTGAAGGGGCCTCGCTGGTGGTGGTGGTGGCGGCCAGCTTCCCCAAGACCAGCTCCATGATGTGCTCGTCCGGCGCCGCAGGCACGGGCTCGTCCGGTGGCACCTCGGTGATGATCTCGGCCACTTGCTCTGTGCAGAAAGAACGGGACAGCCACGTCACAGCTGGGCAGGAGCAGAACACAGCCGGGACAGGTTTACACGGTTAGGAAGGAAAGAAAGGAAAACTAGCAATATTTTATAACCTACATATTTATCTGTATATATAGAAAATCAAAATGATATTCATAACTCAAAACTAGGTTATAAATTGTGACGCTTTTTTAAAACCACGGCAGTCCTAGCACTATTTCAATCCCTCAGCATACCAACCCAAACCACATTTTCATATATATTGGGATCTTAAAATGTATTAAATTATGGTGACAGATACTCAGAAATATTAATTTTGTTATTAGACAAGCCACCGTGAGTATGTTCAAAAGCAGATAACAGCAAGCACAAGAGTCAAACATGACATAACCACAGTAATAGGGACCCAGGTCCAAACCTCTGCACAAATGAAACACGGGAAGGTCACACAAAAATTAGCACTGGTCCTCCCACTCGCCTCCCACATGCCTTCCTAACGCAACTAACTACTAGTGAGCCAATCACTGAAGAGGCTCCTGCCCCTTCACTGGCCTGGCATGTTTAGGGAAGGGAAACTGTGCAGGAAGTCTAACCCCTCAGGTCCTGTCAGGTCCACAGAGCACACCCTGCTGGCCCTGGCCCCGCCCCCACCGCCAGCCCTCACCTGCGGGCTCCACCCCCAGGGCCAGACCTCACCTGCGGGCTCCTTGTCTTCAATGATGACCAGGGGCTGCTCTGGTTTCTGTTCTGGTTTCGAGGCTTTGGGTTTTCTCCCCCTTCGAGGCTTTTTCTTCTGCTCTTTGGCGGCACTGATGCTCTTGGGGGCTGCGGGAGGCTCCCCCTGAGACCCGTCAGGTTCCTTCTCTGGAGCCCCCTCCTGCTGGCCGGCCGGGGGGAGGCTTTTGGTTTGTTCCAAGTGACCCAACAGATGCTCTGCAGGAGGGGGAGGCAGGTGCACAGGGGCGCGGGGGAGCCGGTCAGTGTCCGCTCCCTCCCCCAGTGCTTGTTTTCAATTTTATTTGCTAATAGTGCGCCCTCTGCAGAGGTAAACTGCGTTCCCACTGCTTTTGAGAAGCAAGCATTCCCACGCACCAAACAGATGACTATTTCAGTCAGCCAGGTATAAAAACGGGGCCGTTCTGTACAGATAAAAGCCTGCACCGCATGTACATGCGAAGAGGACTGTGGGAGGCCACACCCACGTGCTCTCTCTCGATGGCAACAGTCAGGCAATTGTGATTTTTGTCTGTAAGCTTATTTGCATTTTCTAATTTTTCCGCAATAAATACCTAACACAATTACTTACAAATGTAACCTCTAAGAGGAAAAGAGAAATATTCAATTTGTGATAAACTGTCTAAAAACACTGCATGAAAGTAAAAGAACAGAAACTGTGCTTTATTTTCAACTGAAGAAGGCCTCAGAGGCCTCCCAGGACAAGAAAGCTGGACGAGAATGGCCACCGTCCCAGTGAAGGTGAGACAGGCACAGACCAGCTGGCCCACAGGGCAGCAGGAGGAGGAGGGAGGACGGGTGGGAGGCTGGGACTGGCGCATGCAGATGACAGAAGGCACCTGGGGGCTCACTGGGGCCCAGGACTGATTCTTCCTGCTGTAAAGCTCCACTGGGTCGACGCAGGTGCTGTGTATAAAGTGGCCGTTACGCCTTCATTTGTCCCATATGGAGGACATAACCTTATTATTTCTATTTTTTATTTTTATGTTAATCTGCACCCGAGGATATTTTTTCCATTGATTTTAGAGAGAATGGAAGGGTAAGGGAAGAGGGAGAGAGAAACATTGATGTGAGAGAGATACAGGGATTGTTTCCCTCCCGGACATGCCCCAACCAGGGCTGGGGATCAATCCTGTAACCAGGAACATGCTCTTGACCCGGAATGGAAGCGAGACCCTTCTGTGCTCTGGCCGACGCTCTAACCACTGAGCCACACCCCCATATGGAGGACACTGTGCTGGGTGCGTGGCCGCAAGAACGAGTGAGAAAAAGAAAATCACACAGCAAACACCATGTTGTGTGACACGTCACAGGAAGGGTTTGGCAGGTCAGCCACACAGCAGAACAAGGTAACAACGAGCGCACTGGCTGCAAATACTTGGAAAGACTAGATAAAATACAGACTTCTCCTCATCACCCCCCCCGCCCC